AACTGTGAAAACCCAATACATGTTGGCCTACCTATACATGTAATGGTATTTTATTATTGTTTTATTATTTAATTTTTTAAGTGGGCATGCTCTTAACGAGAAAGAAAATATGCAAAGAAAAACCTGCAACTTTTGAACCCATGACTGCATCGTTAACAGGTTATGGATTACTCTGGCGTGTCTTAGTCACCAGTTCTTAAACAGTACAGAAACTTTTTATTTTATTCTACATTCTTTTGAGTGTATGGCTGAAAATTAACAGGGTTAGATCAATATAAAGAGGGAAGAGGTATTTTGGGTTTTTTTTTTGGTTTTGTTTTTTTTCTCTCTTGACACTTCTTGCCTAGAATGGCATATTTCAGACTTGAGCCTCCCTCCAAAACCGGTACCATCCCAGCATAAGAGAGCTTTGAGGCAAAGCAAAACTAGACAACACAAAAAAATCAGGCTTGGGAAACTCCAAGCCAATTGTGTTTTGATGAATGACAACCATTGTTAAAAAAAAAGAAGAAAAAAAAAAAAAAGAGAAAAAAAAAAGAGAAAGGCAGCCAATGTATCACCCATCGGGTTTCACCATTTAGGATGGTCTCCACATGTGTGCCAAACCAAAACATGAAACCGTAGAATGTAACAAAAGCTTGGGCTCCATTGTTGGGATGGGAAAGTGAAACTATGTACACAGGCCAATCAGCACCGAAACAGGGACACGCCATTCATTTAGACCACAATAGAAATGGGATCGCAGCGCAGAACATAACTGATCCTCCTGCTGGATTGTTTTTTTTCCCCGTTCTTTTTTTTTTTAATAAGCTCATATGGACCAAGGCCTTGTTTACAAAAGTAAAACGGGACAATAACAAACATATCCCGCTGAAAAGAAAACTGAAAGGAGACTCCTCCATTGCATGTGATTACAACAGCACCGCGGTTTTGGCCTATTTGCATTTGGTTAACCGTGCCTGTATTGAGTGAGTATTTGAGATAAGACTGAAATTGTGGTTGAGAATTTTAATGATTAAAAAAAAGTATATGAATTATGTGTTTGCGTTACTGTACTTTTGGCACCAACACACACACAGCGTACTGTAGTAGTGGGGTCATACACCCGTCCTTTCACCTATATTGTGGGGACTGACAATGCAATGGGACATAGTTTGATTAAAAGAGGTCCCAAATTTCCTAACAAGGAAACTGAATGCCTACCCATGCACACGTACAGTTTGAAGCAAGAACTTCCAAGTAGAAGACTCCCTTTTCTCAAATTTCTGTTAAAATGTGACATCTTTTGAAATGAACCACAGGACAGACACCCCACATAAAGAGAGAGACCAGTACAACTTGAACATCACGCTAAACTGGGGAATAAACTCTTTTCTAGATAATTAGGTCTTGGCCTTCAAGCATTCAAGAAATCCCACCAGAAGAAAAAAAAAAGTACACCTCACTTCATTCTGGTAAATCAATAAATAACTCCCAATTTACCAAATTGCTATAAATCTAATCCGGCTGTAGCAGCCGCTTCTGGAAACACTTCAATGGAATTATTGACAAGGCCTGCTGGATAAATTCCTGGTCCACGAGAAAAAAAAAATGGCTCCCATAAAATGTTAACCTTGTAATGTGATGCTTCCCCCTTGTGGGCTCTATGCCGCAACACAAGCTGTTTTCAGTGTACATGTACCCTTTTTTTTTTTTCCTTTCAGATCGTGGACAGGCTGGGGGAGAGGTCACTAGGGAGGCTGGCATCCCAGGGACATCAGTCTTTTGCCCCTCAGTGAGCACCATGTGCCACAAATCACAAGAAATTATTTGGTGCTGATCAACCTAGATGTAGAAAACATGTGAGGCCTGGACAGCCTACTTAAAGCTGAGATTACTCCATTAGCGGGGAGAGGAGAAAAAAAAACTGTTACATTCTAACACTGTGAGTGTGCAGCGGTTGCTGAAATATGTTTGGACAAAGGCATGCTGGCTTTTGTTTGGCTGGTGGCTGGACCAGAACCAAAGCGTGAGGTAAAGCACAAATACTGTACACAAGCAACAGTTTGTCTCCATACTTTGCCACTTGATAATATGTAAATATTTCCACAAGGTGTGCCTATCATACCAGATTGGTTACTTGTGCAACTTTATAAGACAATGTGTCCATCCTGTTTGTGGTGTCCACCTTGATTAAACTACTCTGTGGTTTGAACAGATCATCTGGTTTTGTTTTTTATCAAGTATGCTAACTCCCTGACATTGGTCATAAATCAAGGCAAGTTTATCTAGCATCACTGCCTACAGAGACAACAAAAAATAGCCAAGTATGCTGTCCATTAAGTCACAAAATCTTGATGGGCAAGTAGTGACTGAGCTCTGTAAAGTTGATTGTGGCATTGATCAAATGTTGCTTCCTTGGCCCATTTGGATAAACCATGGATAAACCGCAGGCAACCGCAAACCACATGGAGGGCTTTTGTTTGGAAGTCTGTAGCTGGATACATGGAGGCCGCAGGTCAAAGATACATAATCTCAGCTGGTGATGGAGCGAAAAAGCTCCAACATTGCTCCAACATGTGGGTACAAACTCCCATCCCGAGAAGCCATTCTTTGTCTGGCTGGATGGTGCCATTCACCCAGAAACAAACACAAGAACTATATGTGCAACCACAAAGCATACAAGTGCACCCAGAGTGCAGATGGCGATCAATTCATGAAATGGAATTTCCACATCACTTGCCAATGTGGAATGTTTTGCACTGATTCAAACATCCCCCAACTACTGCTTTCATTTGCAACAGACTGGAACCCGGACGGATGGGCAATCAACTGAATGAAGACTAATGATAACATGAGGACAGGCATAAGACCAATAACTTATCTCCACATGTAAAAACCTAATCCTCCATGATATACTCTTCACAGAATGAAGTTGTAAGTACACACACTACCATTATACTACCAGAAACAGACAGAGTTTTTGAATACAGGAACAAAATGGCTCCAAACGAAATTCCCCCAAATTCCCTTAAATGAAAAACAAAATCACAAAAACCTTGCACCTTGTTTGTGTGACCCTGCAGATAGAGAATCTAATAAACATCTAAAAAAAAAAAGAAAGAAAGAAAAGCAAAGTCACTTCATGTTTGTTTTGACTTGGAGAAACAAACTGTTTCCCTCCCCTCCTGTTTCTCCGGTGAATTCCTGTTGATAGATGTAGAGGCTACTGCAGCAACAATGCAGGGGGAATACAATGTACCTGCCTCACATGCACAGAATCTGATTGGGCGAACACTGACACACAGCCTGGCGTTAGTGAGACCATGGCGAGACCAATCACAGGGCTTGGCTGGAACAGGTCACTGCTGTACAGCCACAAGATTATAAAGTCTTGTTTCTAGTGGCCTTGCTTCACCCTTTGTCTGGCTAGAGATAAATCGAGATCAATTGAAGGCATTGGAGGGTAAACCTCAAGGGAGAGGGGTCTGCATCAGGGTGCCTGGGGTCCACCAACCTGGGGATACTGGCTTTGCTTGGCATGTGAGAACAGTTGGGAATAAATCAGTTTGAAGTTGCATGCATACCTGTAGCTTTTGCGCTGCCTCTTTTAGCACTTCATGTGTGTCACAGGGTCAAGTGTAATTGCACATGCCACTGAGGAAATAATGCATCCGTCAGAACTGACAACAGGTTAGTATCTAATTAGCCATGAGTTGATGGAATTTTTCATGGAATTATTTCAATGCATTTGCTTAGTAATTACCATCAGTCTACTAATATTACTGAGTTCAAAGCTTCCTTTTTTATTTGTGTACAGCCACAATCATGAGTACACTTTTTGTTACAAAGGTCGTGTCCGAAACGGGCTTCCGGAGCTACGGCTAGGTCTATTGTCTACGCGTTTCCACGCATTTCCAATGGAGTGAAGACCTAGACCTAACTCTAGACAAGAGAATCAGATGCAGCCAAAAACATCATTATGAGTGACACAGCAATGTGGATTAACTCTTTGCAATACTGGGATTTGCCAAATTTAAAATACTTCGTATTCTTACTAATGACACGAAGCTGGATGACTGATTCATGTGTAATCTCAGCGCAAGTTTACATCACTGTTGTTAAAATGGTGTTCTCATAACACAAAAAAAGGTACATGCACTTGATTTGCATTTTGTACGAAGTGTTTGAGGGCTCATTTTTGCACGATTGGGTTTGCATTCGGTAGAGTTAAAATCAGGTGGTATTCAGTATTTTGCTGTTTGCTTTGCACTGAGGATGACGAGTTGCAATTTCTACTTTAAATAATGGTAGCCTCTCTGCATTTCCATTGATTGGAATGTCTACTGTCTGAGAATACAGTGAAATTCATGCTTCTAGTACTTTTTTGACGAGAATGAATTTACATGTACACACGATGCAGATGTCACTTCAAAATTGCCACCTTTATAAATGTACTGTATCTGGTCACTTTAAGCAGCTTCTGCTGAGTCAGTTGAGTTAAGTAGACTCCCCGCAGACAAGCTGGCTATGCATCTTTGGGGACATTTGGAAGTTTTGACATGAAGGTTTGCTTTAAAATGATACTGAATGACATGCTGATTCAGATCGATGACTTCGCACTCACAGGATGTGTGGCACACTATTTTGGGGGTCAAATTCCTAGAAAAAAAATCACTTATGCCGGATGCTGAAGATGGAGGGGTAGATTGGGAAAGCTTTGGGAAAACAACCAATACGTAAAGCTTGAAAAATCTTCAGCGGCGAATGAGGTATTAGAAAAATGTGGGCAGTTTAAAAATGATAAATATCTCTGGTGAGAAGGGTGTTTTCCCTCACATATTTGATCCAGTTCCACTACACCTTGTGGTCAAGATCCAATCCATTAAGTATGGTCATGGTATGACTCTCAGCAAAGTATCATCTCAGCATGAAATGTGAGGTATTTTATATGCGCTGACAGGTAATGGGATAAAATAAATAACAACTACTGGAAAAAAAATCAAGGTGAAAATGCGTACCTTCATGGCTGCAAGCTGTGTCCTGCTAGTCTCCAATTCAGTCTCCCTCCTGATTTCAACTCTGCACCGAGTTCTTCCACGAATGGTAAAACTCTGATGCATTCTCCACGCGCAGGCCCCGGCCCTGGGCCATCTCCACGGCTGCCATTGCTAGCGGGGATGCGGCCAGCTGGCCCGGCCGGTAGTCTGTCAGGACGGTTACCATGTCATGGCTGTCGTTGCCTTGCAGAGCAGATCGCTGGCTGAAGTAGAGGGCACACTCAATGATGTGATACAGAGTTCTGGAATGACAGACAAGCACAATGAGCAATGACCATTCCTGACTTTTTTAATCGGATGAATGGATTAACCACCTCTACTACATCAAATAAATTGCTGTCAGGGGCCCGGGTTGAAATTTTGCTCTATACATGCAAGACTAGAATATGTTTAAAGAGTAATATTTTGAGATCAAAATTTGAACAGCAAACTCCTACAATGAATTGTGCCTTCTTGACAGTGATGTAGTCGAGTACTTTTTG